CCACCCGGTTCCCCACCCGGATGGTCCGGTTCCCCACCCCAGATCCGGTCGATCCGGTTCCCGACCCGGGTGATCCGGTTCCCCGTCCGGATCACTACCCGTTTGGTCCGGTTTCCCACCCGGTACCGCACCCGGTTGGTCCGGTTGGTCCGCTTCCCCACCCGGACCACCCGGATCATCCGGTTCCCCGTCCGGATGGTCCGGTTGACCCGGCTCCCGACCCGGAACCGCACCGGGTTCCCCACCCGGTTGGTCCGATTTCCCACCCGGTCGATTCGGCTCCCCACCCGGACGGTCCGATTGGTCCGGTTCCCCAACCGGATGGTCGGGTTGATCCGGTTCCCGACCCGGTTCCCCACCCGGATGGTCCGGTTGGTCCGGTTCCCCACCCGGTTGGTCCGATTTCCCACCCGGTCGATTCGGCTCCCCACCCGGACGGTCCGATTGGTCCGGTTCCCCAACCGGATGGTCGGGTTGATCCGGTTCCCGACCCGGTTCCCCACCCGGATGGTCCGGTTGGTCCGGTTCCCCACCCGGTTGGTCCGATTTCCCACCCGGTCGATTCGGCTCCCCACCCGGACGGTCCGATTGGTCCGGTTCCCCAACCGGATGGTCGGGTTGATCCGGTTCCCGACCCGGTTCCCCACCCGGATGGTCCGGTTGGTCCGGTTCCCCACCCGGTTGGTCCGATTTCCCACCCGGTCGATTCGGCTCCCCACCCGGACGGTCCGATTGGTCCGGTTCCCCAACCGGATGGTCGGGTTGATCCGGTTCCCGACCCGGTTCCCCACCCGGATGGTCCGGTTGGTCCGGTTCCCCACCCGGTTGGTCCGATTTCCCACCCGGTCGATTCGGCTCCCCACCCGGACGGTCCGATTGGTCCGGCTCCCCAACCGGATGGTCGGGTTGATCCGGTTCCCGACCCGGTTCCCCACCCGGATGGTCCGGTTGGTCCGGTTCCCCACCCGGATGACCCGGTCGATCCGGATCCCCACCCGGATGACCCGGATGGTCCGGTTCCCCGCCCGGTACCCTACCCGGCTGGTCCGTTTCCCCACCCGGTTCCCCATCGGGCTTGCCCGGCTGATCCGGTTCCCCACCCGGATCACCCGGTCGATCCAATTCCCCATACGGATGACCCGGATGATCCGGCTTCTCGTCCGGTTCCCTGTCCGGTTGGTCCGGTTCCCCACCCGGTACCCCAACCGGATGGTCCGGTTGATCCGGTTCTCCACCCGGATGACCCGGATGATCCGGTTCCCCATCCGGATGACCCGGATGATCCGGTTCCCAGTCCGGTTCCTGACCCGGTACCCCACCCGGATGGTCCGGCCGGGTCCGGTTCCCCACCCGGATGGTCCGGTCGGTCCGGTTGGTCCGGTTTCCCACCCGGTCGATCCGGTTCCCCACCCGGATGACCCGGTTGATCCGGTTCCCCACCCGGATGACCCGGTTGATCCGGCTCCCCACCCGGATGGTCCGGTCGGTCCGGTTCCCGACCCGGCACCCCACCCGGATGGTCCGGTTGGGTCCGGTCCCCCACGGGGATGGTACGGTTGAGTCCGGTTCTCCACCCGGATGGTCCTGTCGATCCGGTTCCCGACCCGGATGATCCGGATGATCCGGTTCCCCATCCGGATGGTCCGGTCGATCCGGTTCCCGACCCGGATGACCCGGATGATCCGGTTCCGCGTGCGGATGGTCCGGTCGACCCGGTTCCCCACCCGGATGATCCGGTTGGTCCGGTTCCCGACCCGGATGACCCGGTTTCCCATCCGGATGGTCCGGTCGATCCGGTTCCCCACCCGGATGACCCGGACGATCCGGTTCTCCACCCGGATGACCCGGACGATCCGATTTGGCCTCGCTTTTCGGCTCCGAGACCCCTAGAATCCCTAGAATTGGGCTGAAAAAAACGCTGGGGTTCCCCTGCCTTATGTCCTTATGTCCTTAGTTCCGTCTTCGTCGAGTCAGTCGTCGTCCGTCTAGACCGTTTTGATGGATTTATAAAGAAGGTGTCCCCTTCTATATACATCCATCGGGGGGCCCGGGGCACGCCCATCGGAAGGGAGGATCTCCTTCGATCCTTGGCCCTTCCAGTGTGCGAGCCCTGCGGCCCACCCACCTGAAGAGAGAGGGAGCGACCCTCACCCTTCTAACAGGCCGGCCAACAACGATCCAGCCAAACCAACCAACCAGCCCCGAGAGGGCTCTGCCTACCCTCGATTTCCCATCCCCTCTCACTCTCTCTCTCACGTATCCCTCCTTCCATTGCCAACGCAGGGATGCGGACCCCTGTTGTCCTCTAAAAGGGGAAAGGGAAGACAACAAGGGCCCGCCCGATGCCCTTCTCCGCGGGCATCGGACGCCCCCCCATGCCCCACCCCGGCGTTCAGGGTGGGAGGGGGGAAGAGAGGGGGGGGTGGGTCAAGAACAAGGGCTGAATCTCAGCGG